TCTGGGGAAGAATTCAGGATCTTCCCAGTTCTCACAGGCCTGGTTGTGTTAAGTGCCAGGGCCCTTTCCTACCTCTCCTGGGCCGTCCATCCTAGAGGGTGCCTAGCAGGCCTCGCCTGAGCCGCCCACCTGTTCCTTCGCCCTGGATCACAGATGCCTGGTAAGAACACGCACGCACGGGAGCTGCGGGGGTTTCCAAGAACCGACTCCCTCTCTGGCGGAGCCAGAGGCGATCTGGGCGGTAGCACCCCTAGCATAGTGATCTGTGCCTCTTTCGTACACAGCGATGCAGGAACCCCCACCCACTCAGAGTACCTACCACAACCAAAAGGCTCACATCGGCCCCAAGCCTGCCAAGGCGCGGCATCCCTACCTGAGGCTCTAGAAACATCCTGGCTCCCGGCCCCCTGCGCTGCCAGGCGGCTCAGCGGGTAAAGGGGCTCACTGTAGCCCTTCTTGACTCTGAAGAAACGTCGCCCCCTGCCCACGGTGCACTTCACAGAGCCTGCAGCCAATTCGCTTCCTTTGGGGGCGGGGCCAGAGCTGCAGATCCTGTGGGAGGGGAGGGAGCGGGGGCGGAACGAAGACAGGAGGGGCGGGGGAGGACCGGAGGGGAGGCGTGCGGGGTTGGAAGACCCTGCAGGGACGTCCAGTGGAGGTATCCACCTGCCTGGCTTTGCATTTGTGTCTGAGTCCAGAGGCGCGAGCCGGCGCGCCAAGATGCCCATGATGGGGAGGAGGGAGGGCTGTGGTATGACAAGTGTGCAGAGACACTGGGCTGGGGTGAGGCCCAGCGCCGGGTGGTGGGAAGTGTAGTTGAAGTCCAGATCTGAGAAGCTGATCCGCCCTGGTCACCTCTCTGCTTCTTCCTCAACCTCCTAATAGATGCCCCCTACAGAGCTATGGCAGGTGCCCTCCCAGCCTTTGGCTTGAGTGCCTCCACTGCCGGTATGCTTACTCCACATAGCTTTGAGCATTTCAAGGACCTCTGCCCTTGAGTGAAAAATGGGGACTTGCAGCTGCTTTTGCAGGAGGGCTAATCATGAGACGCTGTGGGAGGTACTTTGGTACATGTACGGCTTGGGGTCTAGGCAGGTCTATTTTGTGACCAGATTCTCAGAGTGTGCACTGAACAGGTGGCCTGGATCTTGGAGTGAGTGCCCTGTTGGAGTTTGGGAGCTGGAGAATCAAGAGGGGGTGGGGGGGGGGTGGCAAAGTTGGGAGACTCTATGCTGATGAGCCTGGGAAGAACTTGAGAGGGGGTGAACATTGCCCAGAGGGCTCAGAGCAAGCTCCAGGCCCTGGAGGACAGCAAAGGCTCCTGGTCATGCTAGGTTGTCTTGATGGCTGCTCCAAGCTTACTCAGTCCCTGCCTGTTCCTGAAGCCGCCTTCTCTCTTCTCAGTTACTCTGTCCTCTACTGCTGTCTTCCCAGCAACAAGCTTAACCTTCTGCAGGATCTCTGTCATCCCTTCATTCCTGCCCCAGCTTCCTTACCAGGTAAGCAGGGTGAGACTTGAGCTCAGCCCTCCCTGCCTTACTGCCTGTGGGGTTTTTGGTCCTTCCTCTGCTCAGAACCCTCATGGCTGCCACCTGCATCAAAATCCAAGCCTGAGGACAGCATTGGAGACACAGTGAGGGAATTGTGCCCAGTCTGACACCGCCCCTACCCCCACCCCCGCACACACAAGGGGTGAAGGGAGCTCAATAGAGCAGCAAGGGGAGCAAGGCAACAAAGTCCTGAGGAATCCTGAAAATAGACTTCAGACTCAGAGGGTAGGGCTTGACACATCATCAGACTCAATTGGAAAACATACATAAGGGTCTGGGATACAGAAAGATTTCTCCCAAGTTGTCTTCCCCAAATATATGCCAAACCTAGCTGCTTGCTACACATGGTAAATGACTATACACTTGAAGGTCAACGAAAGTAGGTCAGAAGTTATTCTCCCTAAGGGTTATCAATCATCTAGAGCAGTGATGTCAAATTCAGTTAAAAATCGGGTCATTTGGTGCAACAGGCAAGATTCACGTGGGCCACATCACATTCACAAATTTTGTTAAATTTATATTTTGAAGTGTGGATTCAGGAATATGGATAGGATAATTAAAACATTACATAATTTGCTTTTATTTAAACATTCATTTTGTTTAATGTATTTACAAAACTAAAATTATTCTTTTTTACCCGAAACTTGCCAGTGCTTTCCTCCTACTAGTTTTCACTTACCTCTTATGTTGTGACCGGAAAATATAACAAAGTAACTAATAAAAAACATAAAATGTTGGACAGCTGACAAACGTGATGTACAATGTAATGGCTTCTCTCTAAAAATGTTAACTAGCACTTCTGCTACGTATGGTTCATAACAGCACAACCCAGAGTGATCTTTTTAACCTTTTCCCTATTGGGATCTGTTTACATTACGTGACACTGAGAGTGGCAGACATCTTGCTTTCAAACATCACTGGAACTGAGTCAGCGTTTGTACACATCCACAGGCCCCCAGGAAAGGCACTGGGCCACGTGTATACTCGTCTTCAGTAGTTAAAGGGTTAACGAGGGAATTGTGTGTACAGTATTACCTTGATCTCCCCTAAGCGCTATTTTCTTATAACAATTTTTTCTATTTAATTTTATTTCAGAGTATCGTGGGCCACAAAAAATTACCTTGGGGACCGCATGCAGCCTGTGGGCTGCCAGTTTGACACCCCTGATCTACAGCAATCAGACTATAGTCTTTCCAACCCTAAGTAGGGCCCATTCCCTTCTGATAAGGATAGTAGTAGATTGTTTCCCTGACGGAGAGCCCAGAGAGGTCAAGCCCACTCAAGGGGGACCAAGGTTAGGCTGCCAACATAAATCTAGGGTCTGCCCTTCTTGTCACATATATACCCCTAGTCTTTCCCCTTCCTATTACACGTACATCCCTAGCTTATCCCCTTCCTGTCATGCTATGCCTATTGTACATCCCCTTCCTGTGATGTGTATACCTATTAATAGCCCCTTCCTGTGACTTGTGTGGTTACCTATAATCACGCCCTCTAAGTATATATGGGCCTTGGACAGAAATAAAGATGCTCTCCTGTCTTCTCTGTCCGTGCTCTGCACGGACCTGGCTGTTGAGATCATAGCCGTCCAGGAGGTGAGCATGTTACCATGAAATGTGTCTGACTCCTTCATTTTACTCTCTCCCATCTCTCCTTATTCTCTATGACTTTATTATAATCTTTATATATCTTCAAATGTACAATTATACCTACTGAACCTGTGATTAGTTGTGGGGGGCTGGCTTCCTTCACAAGGGTCAGCAGACAGACCTGGAATTATTATTAGGCCTTTTTTTCTTTCTTTTTTTCATGTCTATCTGTATAAGAGGCAAGATAAACAATCCTGAGGAGAAAGCAGCAGGACTGATAGTTCCAGGGAGACAGCAAAGGTGGGGTTGGGGCTGGGGGAAGGGGCCCAACAAACCCAGAGACAAGGGAACAACAAGAGATCTAAACAAAGCCCACATGGAGGAAGCACACCAGTGGGATCAGGTTTCAGAAGATCTAAAACAAACAATCATATTGATGTGAATGAGGAGGGTCAGAGTGGAGACCCAAAGTCCATCTGTAGACATTCCCCTCACAGAAGGGTCACAAGGAAGAGACAAGCCAGCCAGGAGACAGAACAGCACCGATGAACCACACAACGTTCCTCAAATTCTTTAATGCTTCCCCTCCCCACCCACCCACTATCATGAACCCAGTTCTTCTTTACAAATCTGGCTAGACCAGAGCATGTATCCTGGTACAGATAAGATCTCTCCACACACGGTATCTAGGACAGATAAATCCCTCAGGAACACTAATGGGAGTAGCGATACCATGAGGGTAGGGGAAAGTGGGGGGAGAAAAGGGGAACAGATGGCAATGATCCACATATAACACTACCACCACCTACACCAACCCCGCCTCCCTCCCCCCTCCCCCCGGGATGAACAACAGAAATGTGGGTGAAGTGAGACAGTAGAGAGAGTAACAACGATGAGAAATACAACTTTCCTCTAGTTCCTAAATGTTTCCTCCCCGCTCCCACTACCATGACTCGAATTCAACCTTGCAAGTCTGGCTAGACCAGAGGATGTACACTGGTACAGATAGGAACTGAAAATACAGGGAATCCAGGGCGGATGAGCGCCACAGGACCAGTGGTGTGAGTGGCGAAACAGGGAGGGTAAAGGGAGAATGGGTAGGAAAGAGGGAACCAATTACAAGGAACTATATGTGACCTCCTCCCTGCGGGACAGATAACCGAAAAGTGGGTGAAGGGAGACGTCAGGGCAAGATATGACAAAATACCAATTTATAAACTATCAAGGGCTCATGAGGGAGGGGGGAGCGGGGAGGGAGGGAGAAAATGAGGACCTAATGTCGGGGGTTTAAGTGGAGAGAAAATGTTTTGAGAATGATGTACAAATGTGCTTTACACAATTGATGTGTGTATGGATTGCGATAACAGTTGTATGAGCCCCTAATAAAATGTTTAAAAAAAATTTAATAATTTATAATTCATCAAGGGGTCATGAGGGTGGGAGGGGGGTAGGAAGGAGGTAAAAAAGAGGAGTTGATACCAAAAGCTCAAGTAGAAAGACAATGCTTTGAAAATGATGATGGCAACATATGTACAAATGTGCTTGTTGCCATTGATGTATGGATTGTTATAAGAGCTGTAAGAGCCCCCAATAAAATGATTTATTAAAAACAAATCAGAGCCTGAGTCTTTCTAATGGCCTGCTCCCCACTTTAGACTTTCCCAACTTTACTAGCCCGTTAGCTACTCTATTGCCGGCAGATACTTTAGGCAATGCCAGGCCCCACGAACCACTAGGCATTCTCCACCCTTTCAGCAACCCCCAGATATGTCTGTATCTCCTTCAGCTCTACTTACTAGCTCCAAGCTCTCTGCTTGGTGAGCTCTTCTTGGGCTGTCACAGCTAGCCTCCACCCTAGCCCTACTTTTCTCCCACCACTAACTGAACTGGCTATTCTCTGTTCCACTTATTTGCTTTCCTGATGTCAGTCATCAGAATGCTTGTCCCCCGAGGGCATTGACACATCCCTGAGGCTACAACAAGGTCTGTATACAGTAAGCACTCTCTGCATATTTGCTGAACAAGTGACTAAAGGATAACAGATAGGATATGGGAAGGTAGTCTTGGGTAAATGCCCCAAGGCAAAATAGGAGGTCTCTCACTTCCCAACCTCAAAACCTATTACATAGCCACAGTAGTTAAAAACAGCCTGGTACTGGTACAGTGATAAGTACATAGACCAATAGAACAAAATAAAGAACTCAGAAATAAATTCATCCACCTACAGAAAACTGTTCTTAAACCAAGGACCAAGCCAACATTAAATGGAATAGACAGAATTTCTTTAACAAAAGGTGCTGACAAAACTGGACTGTTATCTGTATAAGGATGAAACTGGACCCACATGTGACCCTATGTACAAAAACA